AGAGAGCATGAGCGGGAGAGAGAGAGAGAGAGAGAGAGGAGGGGGCGGACACGGATGAGCTAACGTACTAAAACCAATACATCAAACCAATGCACTGCTTGGAGTGTGATGCGTCAGCAGTACATTCACGTTTTCATTGAAGGACAAAAAGAAGAGCAGGCATGTAAGCCTGTATCCCGGGTGCCTGCTACTGCACCACAGAACATAGCAAAAAACATCGGTGCACAGCGGCAGGAAGGTGGACTAACCCGGGGCCAAAGAGGTTAAAAATAAACAAAGGAGGGAGCAAGGGAAGATGTTGCCATGGGGGGCCACTTTTCCCTAGCCTCAGCGCTCGTCCACCAGCTCGAGCCGGACAGCTGTGCCGCTGACAAAGCTGAGAGCTCCAACTCTGCACTGAGCTCAGGGCACTGCAGTGCTATACGGATACTTCTCTGATCGACACAACGTCACAGAGAGGGGGGAGAAACGCTCTCTCTTTTTTCTCTCATTCCAGGGAGAGACCACGCTCGAAAGCAGGAGAGAGCGAAGGAGAACGAGGCAGAGAGAGAGCGATCTCTCTACAGTGAATGAGCCTTCTTACGGAGCTGCCTCTGCACTGGTACCCCCCTTTACACCTTCCCTGGACTCTCGTTGTCAACTTCTTACAGAAAAATTGAAGGATTATTAGGAAGCGTGTAGAAAGAACCCTGCAGCCTTCGCAGCGTGCAAGCGTGAGTGCACGGAGATGGAACGCGGAGCTACTTAAGAAAAGAAATGCGCTAATGACCGCAGTGTCACAGTCTTTTCAGCTGGACAAGGTGCTGACAAATCGAGCGGACAAAACATACTGAGAGGGAGGGAGACGGACAAAGTAAAGTGAGTGGAAACACTGTGGGGCACTTTTATTATTCTTTAAACAAAAGCATAGAAGAACATTTAAAAAGACTGGATTTCTCATTCTTATTCCTCTCTCTTTCCCCCCCTCTAACTACCCCTCCCTTTTTTTCCTCCCCCTACTCTGGTTTAGCATGTGTGAGCGGTCCTCTATGGAGACACGGGCATTTAGTAGCAGCATCAAGCGGAGGTATCCAAGGACAAGCATCTGTGGATAGTGTGAGAGCGAGCGCTTCTATAGGAGCCAAACTGGATTGGTACTTTTGCCTAAAGCTCTGAGGCCCTGCAGAGCTGCTACACGTCTCCTCGGATGCTCCTCTGTGGATTTATTAGGGGCCATTTTGGCATTCATCTCGTTTTCTGACAAATGAAAAAAAGAGAAGACGTTGCTTATCGTGGGAACATAGGAATTTGAGGGGGAAAAAATCTATTTTGTGATTGCAAAAATTGGACGTGTAAAACCTTTGAGGTAGGTGTTGAGCCTTTCCAACCCTTTTCTATTCATAAAATATATTCCCTCGTTTTATTTGATTCATTATTCCTTGGCTTTTCACTTCTCCCTTTTTACTCAAGTACTTGTTACTGAACGTTTAGCCTCCAGTTCAGTAAATGGAAAAACAATCTAGAGTGTTGTTTAACCCAGGGTAGGGCTTCATTAGTCAGAGGTGAACCCTCCCCTTCCCCCAGCTTACTACCCCCCTCTCCCCAACCACCATCATCACCCCACAAACCGCCCCCCCCCAGACGATGCTGAATTATGAATGTGCCACATCATGAGTCTCCTGGGGCGGGTAGCTGTGCGTCGAGCCAGGAAAGCCGCCCTGCTCTGTGTCCTGTTCCTCATGGTTCAAGCGTGCGTGGAGGTGGCGGCCGCGGCAGGGCCCCAGGGCTGCCTGACTGATTGCTCCTGCAACAACCAGCTCAGCAAGGTGGTGTGCACCAGGCGTGGGCTCACTCGCGTGCCACCAGGTATACCCAGCAACACCCGGCACCTAAACCTGATGGAGAACGCCATCGAGGCTGTGCAGGCCGACTCTTTCCGCAACCTCCATCACCTGGAGGTACTGCAGCTGGGCCGCAATGCCATTAGACAGATTGAAGTGGGTGCCTTCAGTGGACTGACCAATCTCAATACACTGGAACTATTTGATAACCGGTTGACAGTGGTGCCAAGTGGGGCATTTGAGTATCTGTCCAAGCTGCGAGAGCTGTGGCTGAGAAATAACCCCATTGAAAGCATCCCATCATATGCATTTAACCGAGTGCCATCCCTAATGAGATTGGATCTGGGTGAACTGAGGAAACTGGAGTACATCTCAGATGGGGCCTTTGAAGGTCTAGTCAACCTCAAGTATCTCAACCTGGGGATGTGCAGCATTCGAGGGGAGATGCCCAACCTGACGCCTCTGGTTGGGCTGGAGGAGCTGGAAATCTGAGACCCTTGTTATAAAAACTCACACCAAGGAGAAAGTACAAGAGACTCAGATATAGTCTGGCCCACAACAAATCAGAACCTCAGTCAAAACGACCCTCTCTCGCCCTATAGGCCCACCCTCACCGGAGCATAAAAACATGCAATAGAATGCACAAAAGAGGAGAAAAAAAGACAGGAACTACTTTTTTGTACAGAGTGCAATTCTTAAAGATTGATTCTTGTTGTACATGCTTATAAATAAATATATATGGAAAAACTGAAACTACCATGGGCTGGTCATAGAAAAGCAGATTATATAAAAAAAATTTATAAATTGAAACTATTTTTTAACTTATAACTCCTATTTAAAAGATGAGTTGTTTTAAGATGCTGAACTGAATTTAAGATACGAGTGTAGTCTTGTTTAAAAGGGCATTCTGTGTGATTTCTAAACAACGCTACAGAGAATGCAGGGAAAAATACAAAAAAGAAAAAAAAACACATTTATACTGAGAAGTCTTTCTTTAAAAAAAAAACTGAACAGTAAAAGGTCAGTGTTGATCTTTGCAGGTTTGTCTTGTAAAAGCACCATGAATTTGTACTGTGCCAAACGTTACAAATGCAATAAAAGGATTTTTGGAAGGAAAGAAAAAGAACCATTTAGATTTTTTTCTCTCTCTTGATGTACTGTTGCGATCAGCCAAATGCTTTAGACACTGCAGTAGGGCTCACTGCAGTTCTGCTTTAACCCTCGGAGTGCTGGGTGCCGCTTAAGTCTAAAAGGCTGGGCAGAGGCTACTTTTCTCCATTTTTCTTTTTACTTTGTATGCTTTTCAGTGCTGCAGTGGCTGAGCTTATATATGATTTATTTGTGAATTGCTATTTTACATCATAAGAGATGGCTTATTAAAAATGACATATTTCACTGCATTATTTCCAAAGTTCTGCTATTAGTGTCAGGTAAACATAATAGTGAGGTTGTTGCACGTTGTTGTCTGGACAATTGCTGCCTGCAGAAGGTTTCAAAATACATTAAAAAGACAGAGGTCTGCACAAAAAAGCTGGCCTGCCTTTGCTTTTAGCACTTAAGAACGGTCTGGTTAAAAATAATTGGTTGTGAAGCAATTTGAAAAAGATTCGGAGTGAAGCATCCATTTCTAACCCAATGTTTTTACTAGAACTGAGCGATGTGTGTACATAAAACATGATGCACATAAAAATTTTGAGAAAATTTTTCTTTTGTTTCACCAGCAATTTCCTCTGCACATTGCAAGCCAATGCATTAGACATTGACACCACACAGACGAGAAGTGAGTTGTCAAATCAAGCAGATTCTGTATGCTCATAAGAGGTGCATCATGACATATCGCACAGGCTTGTAAGGTTTGACTGCGACGTGTACATTATTGTATCCCTCTCACTCGTTCAGAAAGGCTTGTTTAAGTGTCAGCAAGTGCTTTTTACCTTGGCTAATTGAAATGCAAGAATAAGAAATAATGAACGATAGAAAAAAATTAGGTCATAAATTGATGGCATATTAGAGGGTAATAAAATATAATACATGTTTGCATTGCAGGGCATATTGGCTGAGTGCATACAGGCTGTCTAGAAGATTTAAGCTGATTACATGATAATTGATCCAGCTCACACAGACACACACCCTTTACATAAAGTTGGGACATCTGGCCACAGTGAGACCCAGTACCCACTGTACGCCGAGACAAACATGCAAGCACGCACACACAAAACAAAAATGAATCTGGCTTTAGGCAGTGCAGCGCCCCAGTTAAGACCAGTCTCACACTGTTTGTATCTGCGCTTTAAAAAAAAGAAAGTCAATGGGAGCAGTATTTCTGTATACAATGTCTTTATCAGTAATTTTGGCTGTCTGTCAAAGTAGTGTAGGGTACGTTCACAGCACAGACCTCGATTCAATGGTAGTTTGGGGAACTGTGGTTAACTACAGATCTGTAAGATATAACTATACAGCCATTTTAATTCAAACAACAACTGATGCCAAATATTAAAAGCAAAAACAAGAGCTACAGATGGTCACTTGAACAGATCTTAATGGTGAAGTGTGTCATTTCAGCACCACTAGGGGCACCAAATGAAATCAATGATTTATGATTTTTTCCCCAAACACTCCTGATTTCCATCTCTCACTGTTTGACCAAACACTGTTGGTTGAGGAGTAAACTTGAATTGTTTCTGCACATTTATCATGAAAAGTATTAAAACATAACACATTAGTAACTGCCTCCCTTAAAGTGCTTTTTTTAATTTATTTTTTTAACAAATATATTCAGGTAGAGTATCATTTTATCACAACATATTTTACAGCTTATAACCCTTGTTCTCGTGTCTTCACAAACAAAGTTTGTGCCGCAATAACTTTAAAAATTGCAATTACAGCCAGTGAGCGCCGTTTATGCAGCTGAACATCAGAGCTACAATTGCCAGTCTGGTTTTAAAGGAGCATTGTATAGGTCTGAAGTGGATCCTTGAGCAAGCAGCATATAAGAGCAGAGAAAGAGAATAAAGGAAGAGGCCACATTCTGCCGAAGGGTTTGAGGACCCTTCATGCTCTTCAGCCCACTGATGAGAAAAAGCGGCCCGCATTCACCAAACCAGACTGCAGTGTGGCTCATGAGGCGGACATTTACAATAACATATCTGCTCAAACACAAGTGGGAATAATAGAGAGGAGGCTGTTAAGAAATGACATGGAAGAGAAGTGGGTTAGGTCGGTGAAAACGTTTTCAACATATCAATCACGAGCCAAAATAAATGTTGGTGAAATATTGCATATAAGCAAACATGTGAATCAAATAAGAATGAGATTTAGACAGCAAAGGACTAGAAAGTGCAAACATGCAGCAGTATGAAAGAGAGGGATCTTAGAGTGAAAGCATGTGGCAAGAGTGCCAACTAGAGCTGAAGAGAGGAAGGTTACGGCTATGACGTGAGGGCTGTAAAAGTGTAGGTGTAAAAATTGAGGAGGGGCATTGATAAAGTACAGATAGAATGTAGGTAGTCAGGCCAGTGATGGACCACCCTGAAATGAGGGATCAGACGGGGTCAGAAACCTGGCTTATACCTTGCAGGGAGGGCATGACTCCATTATGGTGCTGTTAATGGTGAGAACATCTACTGTTTGGGTTCATTTCTGGTGCTTAAAAGGGTCATCAACAGTTTATTTCTGTCCCCCATATATAAAAGATGTGTTTTATTTATTAGGGTAATTAAAAGTGATAGACTGCTATATCGCCAAGGCCGATCAAATGGCTAATAACAGGCCATTTTCTTTCAAGACAGGAACTGTAAATAACTTAATTCGAGTTTCATTCATTTTTTGTGGTTTTAAAAAAGACACATTGAGAAAAAAGAAATTCTATTGTATTATCAAAAGATGATACACTTTATAATAATTTAAACATTCTTGCAAAAAGACTTTTTACAGTTTAAGAGACTGCAATTTGATCCAATAATTACCATGTAACCAAATAACAACACTCCGTATACTATATTTTGAATACTAAAACAAAAACAAAATGTGGCACCATTTTTTTTTTATTCATTAGTTTGTATAAATGTTGTAAGCCTTAGGCAGGACATAACAGCAAATTGTATGCTTTAAACTATAAGAACCAACTCATAAGAGCCATTAAGTTTGTCTTGACTACTCTGATCATGCTAAAGTGTTTCGATTCACTAAAACAAAGAATAGTTTCAAAAAAATCATTAATTTGAGAATCATACAAAGCTGGTCATAGATTCGGTTAAAATTTTGTTGTTTATAAAATAAGTTCTTAAATCTGGAGCCAAAAGTTTTTAACGTGAACCGTAGTGATAGTATCAGCTCCAAAATCTATAAACAGCATTATCAACAAATTATGTATATTATATAATCATTTCTTTTTTATTTTGACATTAAGTTTTGACTACTCTGATCATGCTAAAGTGTTTCGATTCACTAAAACAAAGAATAGTTTCAAAAAAATCATTAATTTGAGAATCATACAAAGCTGATCATAGATTCGGTTAAAATTTTGTTGTTTATAAAATAAGTTCTTAAATCTGGAGCCAAAAGTTTTGAAAGTGAACCGTAGTGATAGTATCAGCTCCAAAATCTATAAACAGCATTATCAACAAATTATGTATATTATATAATCATTTCTTTTTTATTTTGATTGAGAAAAAAAACAAAAAAAAAACAAAACATTAGCTCTACTTTAAGATACAGTTTATCAGCCCATGCATTTCTTAAAAAACAAACTCGTGACCTTGGCATTGCTAACGTCATCCTAGTTGAGCTACAGGAACACAACTGGTCACTTCTGACAATCCATGTATATTTATAATCTGCCTTGTACATGCTTACTGCTTAGATTGCTTTGGTTTGTATGGAAATATTTGTACATTCTTACATTATTTGCCAAAACAGCCCTTTTACAAAAGCTAACAGAGCGTTTGTCATTGTCTGACCTTCTCGTTGGCGGTCCCAAGAGAGCTCCTGAACAGATGATAACTGGCTGCACTTCTGTCTGGGCCTCAGTTCTGGCCGAAAATAAAAGTGGCGGCTTTATGAAGGCCACCGAAGGCCCCTAAATGAAAGACAGCACAGTTAATCACCGTTTTGTTTTGTTCTGTTCATACCCTCGCCCATAAAGGGGGAGAAGAGGGTCCAATTACCCATGAAGTAAACACATGAAAAGCAGTGCTGGGGTACCAAGTCACCCGTCATTAATTCAGATGCCTCTGTCTACGGTTAATGGCCGGTGCACAGATTCTGTCTCACCATTTGCTAACCTCTGAGCTGGCATACTAAAGCACACTAGCACTTAAAAAGAAAACACAAAGGCGTAGACGCTCTATATCTTCACGCAGTCGCAAATCAAGTAACTCTTCGGACAAATAATACTCGCTTCGCATAAAGATCGCCATAAATTCATTATGTGTGCCTGAAGACCAAAAACACAGAACAAGGGTTCTCAGTAGACAATGCAGGTAGTAAAACTG